AGCAGCACTCCGCTAACATCGACCCGTCGGATTCATGAATTTGAACTTCAATGATGATAAAGGCTGTAATGGATGAGCTTTCTGAATGGCCTCCTTAAAGTTCCCCTAGAAAAGCGCTAAATTTAGCCACCTGTACAGCTTCAACGAGAATACGTCGATGTCTAATGCTGGACGCCAAATAGAGAACTTCAAACATGACAATGAACTGATAGGATCGTCTGGAATGAGGTAGTTCAGACTTCTTCCGCAAAGTTCCGCTCGAAATCTCCATCCGTCTCACAACATTTAGTGGCGCAGTTCGGTTTGGTGGGGGCACCAAATGATACCTAGCGAAGCCAATTCAGGCAATCTTGTGAAGGTCGGTAACTTCTTGCAACAAAAATGGCTCAATTATAGCATTTTGTAGCTCCACAGGACTTTACAAGTTCTCTTCAGAGGATAACTTCTTAATTAAAGTGGACTAGCAAAAGGAGCTCGCAAAGTGCAAAATGGCCCTTGCAAACCGAATAGCGCCCATTTGGCCCGCCCACACAGTCCCAGCTACTCTTGATGAATCCAGTTTGATTTTTTTCTACATTTTGATGACGTTTCTCATTGATTTTCTCTCACATTGCGCGCGTATAGAGGGACCGACAGACTAAATACACAGAGAGAAGTGACTCCGCCCCAGATAATCCGCCCACTTTTGATGTATCTATTGAATCTTTTCCTCTTATTTTTTATAGGCGAATATTTTTCGACTTAACCGGAGATGGTTTTCGTCCCTTATACGTATTTATTGTTCCTTTTTTAATTTTATTGCTCTTCAAAGCTTTTTCCAATCCTACGCTATACGTGTACAGACTGACTGACACTCTCCACACGTCGATACCTTTCACTTTTCCCACTACAGCCCCCCCGAATGTTCTATCTACTAGCTCGATTCACTACGAAAGCTCCGCCCAAAGTTCGCTGCTCCGCCCTTTTTGTGGATTTTTTCTATTTCGGAGTATCAGCCATACGCACTAAGATAGTAGAAGTTCTCAGCAAGTGGCATTGTAATGTGTGAAATGGTGATGGCCAGTTCGACCCCCCTCTCCTCGGAGGGATCGCCTTCGTACGACCCCACCCCCATTCCCAGCACCCACCCAATTTTCCCCACATCCTTCCAGGTTCTCACCGACAAGATTCTTCCATTACCGGCGCGGGAGACGTAGGTATATGCAGTTTTTTGGGTGAACACGCGGAAATTTAGGTTTTCCCCAACTTCCGTCACTTTTTCGCGGGATTTCCCGGAAATTTCCCTACTTTGACCTAGAAATTTTGCTTTCGAGCGAGGTGGGGAAAGCACGACCCCCCTATCTGTTCCACACAACGATGCTGTACCCTGGGCGTAGTTAAGTTCCATCGGAGCTGACATCCCTCCCGTTGATAGCGCTTTTGGCAGCTATGTAGAGCACCATATCGGTCGTGCAATGCTGTAATCGTGATTAGCAGAGCCCAGCTACGAGAAGCGTCATCAGTAGCATTTCGACCGTTTTCTCGGCTTGACCCTAGGGTACCAGCTCGTCCTACCGTCTCAGGAGAACTCCTTCGAAACTCCTCGAGCATCCACTTCAACACTACATTCTGCTGATGATTCAGAAGAAAGGGAACTAACTTTGTAGCCCACTCGGCTAGAGCAGGTCCAGTGGTTGGCCAATTCCCAGATAGTGACTTCAGAAGCAATCGTAGCGGAATATCGATGATGATATGCTGAGGCCCGAAATGTCCAAGGAACGCTGCCAGATAGCTGAGTAGGTGCTGCTCTGTACGTATTTCGCACGGCGGAATCGGTTCCCATGAGTCCGTCATCAATCTCGGTGTGCCCTGAATGAGACATGGTCGAATCGCTGGAAACGTAAGGACCACTCTGACGTCGTACCTCTTGAGCAGCTCTCCGTACTAGTGCTGCCATATCCTCATGTCCAGCTAGACATGCACATCGGCCGATTGCTTTTACCTGCAACTACCAGTTAAGGGGGAGGGGGATGGGTTCAAACTACCTAGCTTACCTCAGGTAACAATATTCGAATAAGTCCTGTTGGCCAGAGTTCGGCTGCAGCTGACACAAAACCGCGGCGTTGGGATACAGCCGCTTCAGCTAACGCTTCATTCAACACCATGCCAGTTTGCTTGCCTTCGAGGATCGCTATCAGGTCTCTGAAAGGGTATTAGAATGTTGGGCATGAGGTATCCCAGCCTTGGGGTGTAATAGATTGTCATAAAACGCTCATTCCGTGAATACCGAGTAGGTGGAGAGGAGAGGGGGAACATTGAGTCCTCCTCGTTCTGTACTACCTTCCAAAATGGCAAAGATAAGGATCGCGCCAGATCGGTTTCTTGTTCCCATGCAATCAAACATCGTCATTCGATAATACACCAGGGCCATCACGCGTGGCGGATCTTCATGCAAGGCGGGGGGGGGGGAGGAGGATGGAAGAGGGTAGTACATCGTCGGTGTAGGGGCAATCAAATTTGCTCTCGTAAAAAATTCTTTTGCTCGCTGACTTTTCTCGAGTTTTCCTCTTTCACGAGCGATATATACTCCGTCCCCATCCAGGCCAGGGCACATCGTTGTTGGGGAATCCCCAATAGGGGGGTCGTATTTGCCCGCCAGGAGAGGGGGGTCGTATTTGGGTTGGGAAAAATTTATTTTGATAGTTGATTTTCTACTTCGCTTCACGGACTTGTAAAGCGTGGGGACGGGCGCGGTGGTCTGTGCTTGCCGTCATTTTGTGAAAGAGGCACCGCCGGAGCGGTCGTAGCGGTCCTATTTACGCTTTGGCCTGTGTAGTACGAGCGGTTGGGCTTGACTTTTTGCGATTTTCCTGCTTTCACCTGTTACTATATGCGCCCCCCCCCCCCGACAAAGAGCAAATTTTTTGAGGGACAAAGTAAGGAACTTTGCTGGAAAATTTTGGAAAGTGGGGCAGGAAGTTGCGCATAAAACTCTCTGAAAATTACGGTGAATTTAGTAGTAGGGCGGCGGGGCGTCCTATCTGTCTCGCGACGTTTCACATGTGCTACATACCCCCTCCCGCTCGACGCTCGATTCGGATGAGGATAATAGCAGCGGAAAAAAAAAGGGGAGGGGGTCGTATAAACTCGATTAGCCCAACCAATGATGTGCCCTAATCCAGACAACCCGAGTCGTACCAGACGAGGAACTTTTGTGGGGGGGGGGGGGGGCGGCTGTGCCTCTGTAATTTTTATACCTAACGGCTCAGGGCGTGCCTGCGATGAACACAAGGCACGATACCAGATGAATTCTAAAAGCTGGCAGACCTGTATTACATTTGCGCCACGGTTGTGCTTTCTATGAATGCAGTGTATGCTACGAATAGATATCGATCGCCCGATAGGTTCGATTCCCATATACCAGGGGAAGTTCATCGAACTTCTGACACCCCAGTGTGAAATAAGGTTTTCACTGACTTCTTAAACTCCATGATGTCCTTCCATTCGGTGAGCGTCCAAAGGGAATCGTAATCAGGTCGTTGAATTTCCGACGAAGCACCAGAACCAACACGTCGTTCTTCGTTCTCTTGCTGAGCCGCTTCTTCCAGGGCCGCCGCGTCACCGAACTAAAAAACCGCTTTGATTAGGACAGCGCTGGACAAAGTCCAAGTAAACCAACCGATGAGTTGTTCTGACAGGCGCGCACTAGAAGTTTATGATTTCGAAAAGAGAACCCGTTGAAGTGCCGCAGTACCTGCACAGCGTCTTCGCTACGATAGAAGCGAACAGTCCTGAACATGGCAGAGTACCCACCAATAGAAACATTTGCTAACGTACTGTCAAGGAACGGACCATTTCCTATAAGTGATGTGAATGTCCAAAATTGGTAGATTTGAGTTGATTTCCCGATGAATTAGGCTACGAACGACATGCTGCTGCCCTTAAACATCTTTGGATTAATCGGCTAGATGTCACGACGAAAAGACACTGCAATCCTGTGAGAGATGGATCTCTCTCTAGTGCAAGGTGAGGTGGATCCGAAGCCCCAGCAGTGCAACACTTCTGCCACCTGAAGGTGTGTAGCAACGACGCTAGAGGCTGGAGTAGCTCTTCTTCCTTGACGTCTCCGCCCCACTCCTCCCTTGGCCACGTGACACGCACTGCTCGTCCGCGCCCTCTCATTGAGATAGGAGTTCGTTCAGTTGACCGAAGCCGATACGAGAAGGCATACGAGGAAAGAGCGAAAAAGAGTGAGGAGCGAGGATGTCAGAGAGGGCCAGCAGACTGCTAGACAGAAACCTGATATCTACTCAAAAGCAGCTTCTTTCGGCCTCGAGAACACAGATTTTCCGTACAGTGTCTCGGCGAGAGAGCACAGACGGGCATCGCTTATCACGCACTAGCGCATCGGATGAGGCGGAGACAAAAGAACCATCAGACAGTCCCCGTCTTCCTTGCTACCCACCTTCAAACAAGGAGTAGGCGCATTCATCCGGCCGTAGAACTGCCCCATCCCCCCACCGCCCCATCCACTCGTACACGAAGAAGATCCACCTCAACAACTGTGCAATGTGTCTTCAAGCCCCAAGTGAGCATTAATTGGTTGCCAGCTTCGGGCCGTGAGTGACAGCATCGCAGGACCATCGACTCGAGAGAGCAAGGACCCACCGTAAGCCAATCGTGGCACGTTGAGGAACACCACTTGTGTGCTTTGCAAAGTTTATCCGAATGCAGCAATTCAGCCATAGGTGAATCTCTCTGAAACAACAGGTCAAATTCCGCTTTGAATGCATTGAACAAGCTTAAATGCCTGTGGCTTTTTGGCGTCCCCCGAAAGGTCCTGCAGTTGCACACTCGAACCTCCTCACCTGCCTCTCTTGCATACTCTGACGCAGCTCCGGATCACTGTAGACTCGATCCCAAAAGTCCCATGTGTCCTCATTACTTCTTATCGACGTTGACAAGACATCCGGAGAGGTGCGACCATCTTCTTCGTCTCCTTCGCTGTCTCCACGATTCTGATCAGCGGCAACATCACCACGTTCACTGGCAGCTTCAGAAGGACGCGTGGCTTCATCGACGACCCCGCTGCATGAGAGATTCACTCCTATCGGTACCTTTTTAGAGATCATAATCGGTGTGGGCGTGGAGAAACGCACATCACGGCGTGCTATCACTGGCTGCACAGTGCTAACCATACGTCGGACTTGAAATGGATACGGCATGGGAGTAGCTGGCGCTAGACTTTCGGCAAACTGTGTTGATGGGCCTAACGCCTGTGCCATTGGCGAAGACATTTAGGGGAGCGTGTCGGATTGCTGGGTATGACTTGACGGGTACCGTTCGGATTTGGAATCTGGACTGTTGCTGCGGTGTTCCTTGTGTAAAGGGTTGGTCGTGTCTGGCACATGCCTGCTCCGCGATAGTATGTGGTTACGGGAACACTGGCGCCTCGGCTTGGTGCTGACGTCGTACCACCTCTCCATGCGTAGCAACTTCCACCTGAAAAATATTTTTTCATGAATAGAGTGTCAGTGGCTTGTCACGTTTAACATTCTTTTACCTAAGCGCCGCTGCGCGTTATTTCGAGCGTCGAGTGGAGTGCCATTAACGGACTCAAGTTATGCGCTGTTCCGGTGGTATGCAGTTCAGCAAAGACATGACGGCGTGTGACATATAAGCAGCATACGGCATGAAAAAAACGCCATGCCACTTCTTCCCTTCCCATCCGTAGACGATTACTACTGTCGCCAAAGCTCACACCTGCCTCCGCTGCGATACTCTACGTCCACTGGCGGTGATGTTGGACTGAATCCTTGTTCCCTCATCCCCTCCCTGGTTGCTCGCGACATCACGACTCGCATATAACACACATTGTATGAACTGGACCGGCCGACTGTACGACAGCGGCAATGTTCCTTATCAGACCCTATCAGTTGTTATCACTTTCTGTCTCACCCCCGGCCGCGTGTGTTTCCCCTACGGGCGCGCACATCACTTGCTGCCGAATTAACGCCAATTAAGCTGATGCCTGTGTACCTCGTATCATGAATTATGGTGAATCTCCTCGCTCTAAACTCGCCTCTTATCAAAAATCTTATCAGCTGCTAGCAGTTCTTGTCACCCACCGATAATGTTCTCGTCCCGAACCCTGTATCATATCATGAAAACAGCGTCTAAACGATGCTGTGATCCGCGCTATGTACTCGGTGATCCTCTCTTTCTGCGCGCCTCTGGTAGCACGATGCTACATCACCCTGATGTCATGTCACTCACCACGCAAATGTTCCTGCCTATGCTGCTGCTAATTGCGTGACGCGGCGCGTTATGGACTTGGTGACCCTCCCCTTCTAGCGCCTATTATCGGACCTTATCAGCTGATATCATTAACTGTCACGCACCAATAATGTCCCCGTCACTTGCCCTCTCTACACAACTACTTGAAAATCAACTTCCCACGGCGCTCACCTGGGAACCGCCCCTCCGCCTCATGAACTTCGCTGACACACACAGTACCTACTTAGCGGATTGTAAATATAGTGTACAGTCCTCATTCATTGCGGACTGGTGAGGGCGTGATGTCAGTGCGGCTGCGTTTGGTGCGCCGTTTGGCAAAAACTCCGTTCTTGCCACCCAGTCTTTGAGAGATGTATTATCATCCTTCGTATCACTCGTTTTCTACCACTTTTTGTCGCATACGCGTTGCAACAAAAAAGGCTGAGAACGGCTTCAACAGTGTGCGCACTCCTTCTGGCTGGCACGCCCCACCGGTCCGCAATGATGAGGACTGTAGTTCGCTGCGGACGGTTGGGCGTGTCAGTGCGGCTGCGTTTGGCGCGGTGCCAAACTCGTTCTACACCAGTTGTTGAAGCGGGCAAGTGACAATACTGTATCATATCCTTCGTATTACTCGTTTTCTACCACTTTTTGTCGCATGCGCTCTTCAACAAGAAGGCAGAGAACGGCTTTGATAGGGTGACACACTCATACTGGCTGACACGCCCAACCGTCCGCAGAGAACTGGGTGTAGTAGGCTTCTCCTGCCCTCCTCAGTTACCTAGTTGGTGCTCCAGTAGACATTCCATCAGAGTAAAGTTTGAACTAATGGTCAAGAAGCGTTCACAACTGCGCTACCAGAGAATTGCCACATCGAACGAAGAATCTACAAGAAACGAATCGATTCATCTTCGATTCCTCTTGTTCTCTATCTCTCGATTAGCCTGTGGTGCAATCCAAGACACAAAATAAGATTGCAATTTGTCGCGTCGTCGCGCGCGGCGCATGGTACGGCCATACGTGACGAATTTTCGATGAGCATCAGTTTGTCGATTGGAGCAGCGAAACTCATATGAGTCAAAGCAGAGACAAGGCTCTAGGAGAGGTTATGTTGAATACCCATTCTTTCAACACCCGAACTAGGCATGACAACTCGGCCGTCGCGCGCGGCGTCGCTAGCCACGCCCGCCGGTGCGGCATATTACGATGTCTTGCCACATACCCGGTCCAAAGTAAGCGGCTCCAGGATGACAAGATGAATAACATGCGCTCTAGAGGGGGTTTTCAGCGAAAAGCGGCGCAGGGACATGGAGATGTGATAAGGATCAGGATA